CCTGCCTGCCTGCCTGCCTGCCTGCCTGCCTGCCTGCCTGCCTGCCTGCCTGCCTGCCTGCCTGTCTGCCTGCCTGCTTTGTTACCTAGATGGCTGGCTGATTGACTAACTGACTGACGGATTGCCTTGCCACTAATTGCTATGGAACTGAGTTTCATATTTTGTTCCACTATCGCCTGTGTTCTTTTCTTTAATTTGATAAAATTGGAAATAAAAATAAATTTATACATTGTTTCCTTTTTYCCCCCTTATTTGATTGGATATTTCCTAGCTCACTCTAATAAAATATGTCCACATATTTGTATCGTGTGATAAAGTGTTCCTAATTCTTAATGTCATTTTCTAAAGGATTTTGATGACTGGGATGATGTTGGTCTTAACATCCCCAAACCACCAAACATCTTGCATCTATWTCGKGATTACGGACRTCATACTGTGCCTGAAGTGATGCTGGTATTGCAGTCAGTAAAAGAAGAGAAGGTCAGGTTAGAAGATGAAGTTGTAAAACTACAGTCAGAGTGCAAGAATCTAAGGGAAGAAGTTGGAGAGCTGAAATTTGAAAATCAAACTCTACAAGAAAATATGGAGAAGATCCAAAGGTAAATATGTCAATGGACCAAATGAGAAAAATAAMCATATTTTTACTTAGACAGTAAGTCAGTCAACTACTCTGTAGTCAGTCATTTAATCAGTCAACTAGTTAGTCATTGACTAGTCAACTAGTCAGTCCATCAGTTCGTTCGCCCGTCCATCGTTCAGTCAGTCATTCAATGAGTCAGTCAGTCAACTAGTCAGTTGGTTAATCAGACACAAAACAACAACGACAATAACAACAAAAATGGAAGAAAAAATGACAACAGCAACCACAAAACAAACCAGAAAAAAAAAAGAAAAGAAAAAGACAAACAAAAACAAACATCTACCAAAAGTACGTGCTTTATTGTGAAGACGATTCCGCTCGTGCGATTGAGAAGTGTAAGTGACACGGTAGAATAATCTTATTTTCTGTATCAGCAAGTATTGATAAGCRCGTTGGCCTTTCTTTTTTACTTTAGTGAACATCAGCAGTTTAGATCTCCTGGAAACACTTCCTTCAACACTATCAAATCAGAGGCATCAGAAGACAGGACCATTACTCCTCAACATCCTTCTACTGACCAGCCAGATGGTGCAGTTGATATGGAGAATAGTTATGTTGGTGAACAGCAAATACCAAGCATTGTTTTTGAGCCAGATATTGAACCACCTGTGGGTAAAGAAGAGATCAAGCAAAAGGAGAAAGACGAGGCTAATGACGAAAGTGAAACTATGAGTAAAGAAAATACTATTGAGGATGAGCATGTGAAGGTATTTTGTGCTCATGTGTTTTTCCAGCTGATCTGGAAGAGTGACAAATGACGTCACTACAAAACTGAGGTGTCACGAAGCGCGCAAAAAATSATCAGCAAAAAATTCTTAAAAGATGCCCGTTATTGGAATAAAAATATAAAACTCATTAATTACTGTGTCACTGTTATCAAGTGCGTATTAGCCACGTTTTCTTTTTTCATTTGGTGGCCTGGAAATCCAAAATTGCAAGAGGAAAAGTGAAACCTCAGTTTCGCAAATTTTCTCTATTCCGATTGGCTAACACTTTTTCTCAGATCAGCTGGTTAGGATGTCTCGCAGGGCAGAGGGCAAGCATTTTTGAGTGAACCAAAATTATCAAAATGCATTTCCAAAATGTTTATACATCCCAGGATTCATTTCACTCGTGTTGGAAAGTACTTTCAAAATATGGTGAAYACAGGAAAAGTATATAAATGAGTTATTTGGGTCCTGGTTTGAACAGGTCAGATAAGTTGGCTACAGGACCGAGATTGAAAGATATTTACACCACAATCTCTAAAATGCAATTTTGCTGAACTCAAAGACTGTATGTTTATTTTACATATGAGGAGGTGAAAGAGGAAGAGCCTTCACTTAAAGAAGAAGACAAGGTTTCAGAACCTGTGACGGCTACAACAGTTAACACAACTGCATCTCATGGACAAAGGTAATGGGAAGCGAACATTGTCTCATAGAACTCTGAAACAACCTCTCCACTGATGAAGGCCAGGAAACCAAAGGTGGTATAGCGGTAGTGCACTCACACTTGGATGCTCGATACATTATTATAAAATAAGTGCTCTAACTCTCGCGCTTTGATTGGTTGGGAGCRCGTGCTTTATAACAGCACAAAGCACGCTAGCGCTATTTCGATTTCGCTATGGTAATTTATATTTTATTAAAGAAATAAAAAGCTTGCATGCTGTTCTGTGTGAAGTTATAAAGCGCTTGGGGATTGGCAGATCAATCCCCCCGTGCTTAATAACTGCACGCAGCATGCGCGTGCGTTTTTTATTTCTTCAGTAGCGTTTGTTAGGTTTCTCCCTTGTTTCAAGATTTTTTTCTCCGGGATCTCAGGTATTCCATTCTTTGATAAATTCCAAGTTCAATCTGTGAGTTAGTCGTGCCCTGACAACGTTCAGCCAAGAAAACAAAACCTTTTTTTTTCAAATGCGTCGATATAAGATATATATTATGCACTTTACTCGTACAAAGACAGTGCGAAACTTTTCTTTCCTTTTTTCAAGTGCAAATAACTAACAATTACACTTCCTGGTTTTTTTTTGTTTTTTTGTTCTTCAAAATCCGTTGATAACACAGCAAACGAGGTACCAATGACAAAAAGATTGCAAGGAAAATCGTTATTTCTACTGAAAAGAATGTAAACCTACAGTCTTTATTTTCTTTTTTTCTCCAGAATGACGTCGCCAGCGTTCAGGGAAGCTCTCTTCTCGTCAGCGCACATCGCACTTGATAACAGACTGGCCAGTGAGGTTTGTGACCCTTCTCTTTATCCACACTGCCATACAGCAGTTTTCGCATGACTGAAAAGCTCCGTATCGTAAACTTGCCGTGCCGTGATCGTGATGTTTTCTAAAATTTTAATAGGCTTTTTTCCCCGCCAATTACGCAAATCCAGGTAATTAGGCTATTGCTATCGTGGCAATATAAATATGACTAATCTGACTTTATTCTTCACTTGACTCTGAAGATGACTTCCGCTCAGGTTGTCGAAACGTCAGTCACATCAAACAGTCCTTCTCAGGACTACATCCACCCGGATGATCATAATACATCGATTAACATTTTTCCTCGCTCAAAGTGATTTGTTTGACATTTGCCTTTTATTGGATAGAGTAAATTATCGAGCAATGCTATTGGTCTGGCGTTCTCTGGCGTATCGCTTGCCGTGTCACTTTTCAATGTCATGCAAAAACTGCTCTATAGTAAAATTGTTCTTATATGTGTTCTTTATCGACAAGTTTTTGTACTGGCAGTGTTCTTTTTATTGCTAATGAACATTCAAAAAAGAGTTGACGTCGTTGCAATCATTTCGTTCCCTCACATTTGTTTGAAAAATGAAAAATCCGTGGAATTATAAAGTTTTTGTATTGCTGAAATTCTGCTTATTTTTTTCTTTTCCTTTTCCTTTACTTTTTGTGTTGTGGATATTTTGACGGCTGCTGAAATGACCTAGTGCTAGCCCTGAGGAAATGAGTTTTCAATCAAGGAACACATAGATCTGTATGCTTTGGATTAGCAAAACGTTATGATTATTAATGTTTGTACTTGTCCAGGTGTCCAAGCTGTCAGAGACAAGCGATGATGTGGTTCTAATCCTAGCAAGGTGTCTTCCTCATATCGTACCAAATGTCCTGTTAAATAAGAGAGAGGTGAGTGCAGCGTTTCTTTAATGTTTCTTGTTTCCACTATCCTGTTGATAAGTGGCCGGTAAGTTGCAAAGCAGGTGTAAACCACTTGATAGACAACCTACACTAGCATCCTTTCCAGGGGGTAGAAGTATGACTGCTAGTCGTTTAATGTTTCAAGCGCAAGAGCATACTCATAAGTCATACTGGAACTCCCAAATTTCTTTGGAAAGCGTGTTACCCGAGCCTTTTCCATTTAATAGTTGTACTTGTTGCTTATTGTTGGAAAAGTACTTTTTTCATGCGGCAGCCTTGTTGAGTGGAACGACAGATTGTTGCCCGCCTATAGCTTCGCATTCAAGCACTGAAGGATTTGTTTGCACGGGCAGAAAAACGGCTTTAATTATCGTGGGAATAAGCATGGCTGCAATACTGCGTGACAAAGGTCCTTTGGTTTTTCTTTGCTAACGATTTTGGCTTTGCTTTTTATTTTTTTACTTAGTTCCTTTGTTGTTGTTGTCGTTGTTTTTCTAATTGAGTTTCTGTTACAATACAATACAATATGTTTTCGTTGTGGTTGTAGGAATTGATTCCAGTTATTCTTTGTACCGCAATCCATCATCCAGACATCAAAGAACGAGACAATCTTATGCACATGCTATTTAACCTCATCAAGAGACCAGATGAGGAACAGAGGTAATAGATATAGTCCCACATAAAGTAATATACCCTATTGAATCGATGATGATAGACTAAACTCAACACGTCTCACCATTTTTTTTATTTTTATTTTTTTCTTGCGAGACAAGAAAAATCAAATTATTCCGCATTGGATAGTTACTGCAATGACTCTGCAGGCTTATTTTTATATTTGTACAGGTTTAGCTTCGTCCAAGAAAAAACCATTCGCAAAAGTCGACTGTAATGTAAAGAATGCGCAACTTGAATTGAACTATATCAGTTTTTCTTACATTTCACATATTTCTAGTGGTATATGTGAACATAGTTAATGAGATGTGAATAGCTGATGCTAAACCCGTACGAATGAGCCTTAACAGCGGTATGMATGGAATAAGATAAAGGACGCGGAATCTTGGTACTTTCATATAAACAAGGTTGCCCAGTGACCCATTGCGCGCTTGATATCTCTAGTAATAAGCCAGTTCATAGTTTAAGAATCGTTTTTAGTGCGCATGCAATTTTAACCCGAATTTCTTACCTTCTTTGGTTTAATTAAGAATAAAAGGTCAAAAAATAAAAAAAAAAAAAGATTAGAAATTCGGGATAAAATCGCATGCGCACTGGAAACGATTCTTAGACTATGAACTTAAGCAATGGTTATTCTATGGTTTTATACCATACCTATTATACATTGTGTGCAACCATGTGACTCACAATCCCTTGAGACATGAATAACAGTGAAACAACCACCATGTTAGTTGATCTAACAAGAGAAGSTAATGAGGAATGCTTGTTATCGTCATCGAAGATGGTGGTCATGAATTAACAAGAGCTTGCTCTAAACTACTCCTATCATGTTATTGTCTGATAGACAGATGATCATGAACGGATGTGCAGCCTTTGCACAAGTCGTCGAACCTTCGCGTGTTGAAGCTGAACTACTCCCTCAGTGGTGGGAACAGGTAAATGTTAATAGTATGCAAGTGTGTTTGTTTGACTGTCCTTTTCTATCCTTCTCTTCCTCTTCTTCTTTCCCGTCCCTTTCTTCTTTCATCCCTATGTTACTATTTTTCTTTCCTTCCCTAATTTCCATTATCCTCCTTACCCCATTCACTCCCTCCCAACAACAACAAACGGCAACAATGAAAACAATGTCAGCAGCTTTTCAAAGAAAAGAAACAGTAATTAGCAAATAATTAATGACAGCAGTTGTAAAGATGTAAACAAACAGGCAACAACAGCGWKTAACATAATGTAGCAGCAATAGTTAGATGCGCCCTGCAGCARCAACCACAAAAGCTATTGCAGCATCAAAGTTAAAAATCTACCAGTTTTCTCTGTAATCACAAAGTGGGACAATCACGAACGGAACCATGAGATCCATGCTAGGTGTGAAAGCCCAAGATCGAATTGGAATTTAGAAGTTGATTTTTGCGGAGGGAGGAAAACCGGAGAACACGGAGAAAAGCCCTCGAAGCACAGGAAAGAACCAACAAACAACTCTACTCACATACGAAACCGAGCACGGCAGGGCTCGAACTCGGGTCGCGTTGGTGAGAGACGACGGATAAGAAGCGCACGCCACCCGTGCTTCCCAAAGTGCTGCGCAACTTRTTTTTGATGCCCATGAATGTCAGAATCTGATGTAATTKATTTGCATCGATCTTTGACTATTGTCCTTCAGATTACACACAAGTTTCACGAAAGAAGACTATTAGTAGCCGAGGCTTGTGGGAGCCTATCGTCTTATCTACCGGTAAGATTGTTGCGTGTAGCATTGGAGCCGTAGATATGCCAAATAATAGTGGTGAGACTACAGCCCTGCCAAATAATGGGTAATATTTGCATTGAATCTAATCCCCAATCCTATGCACCGCAAGTTCGTTACCAGTCTCTCGTACTTTAGAGAAGATTATTAAGTGAGATTTGGGGTTCGGCGTGCATATTTAGGAGGAATTAATCATAATCAGATAAGGTACCGTTCATTTTTTTACGGGCATGTGGGGCTGGTGGAATTTTAAAATGAAAAAATTAACGTAAAATGAACGGCCCCTAATTTCCTATTTTCAAAAAACAGGATACAATTCGTTCATCGCTGATCTGGTCAATGATGAAGCAAATGCTGACAGACGATCGAAGTGAAGAAGTGCGAGAAGMAATTACAAAGAGTCTGGGACTAGTCCTAGCCGATATGAAAACCCCGGACAAATACGAACAGGTAGGCCTGGACACTAAAATGAAGAGCGACCAGAGAGAATCTACATAGCACTCAGTTGATGAAGTGTGTTCATAATATATATTGTATACTATTGTCGTTCTTATTGTATTGTTATGAATACATTACATCAACTGCTTGCTACGTAGGGTCTCCCGAACTAGTCGCTTTCAAGTTTTTCTAAATATCCAAACCTGTATGAAAAGATTGGACATGGAAAGGACGAAATATAAATTTGTTTTTATTAAGAAATTGCTCTTATGAAGTGCTGCGTTGCATTGCAGTTGTCATTTGTTCGATGCTTATTCTTCGATTGCACGTTACGTCATAGCGGCCGTGTTTGGGTCATTTAACAAAATAATTCTCATTAGCATCCATTCGTTAACGACTCCACAATGGCCGTCATGTTTTTTGTCTTTTGACTCTTGGGAATGCTTGCAGCCCATCAATACCAATCATCATCACATGAAAGTGGAGTTCCTTGTTGTTTTCTCCTGTGCTTCGAGGGTTTTTTTCCTTTTCTTTTTTTTTGTTGGTTTTGCTTTGTTTTTTCTCACTCTCTTCGAAAAAAATCATCTACTACATCGATCTTGGAATGAAATGAAACCAAAGGTTTGTAATCATCGTAACCAATTACATGCTTACATCTGAAGTCGTACCTTATCTTTTCTAGTAACGATAAATTATATAGACCCCTTGCATGTGACGTCAAAGCAGCTCAATTTGGGGACAAAACAAAAGAATTTCAATCTCCTGAGAATGGGGAACCTAATGTTATGTCCTCCAAATTGAGCTGCATTCCGACGTACTGTAAGGGGTTTATAAGACCTTTGATATATTATATTATTTCCCCCAGGCGCATGAGTTGTTTTTGTTGACACTTGAAGATACAGCAGAAAAAGTCTGTCAAGCAGCACAGAATGTTCTCCTACCGTCGTTAGCTGACTGGGCAATGGATTTAGACAAGTTGGAATCGCATCTAGCGACTTCAATCATGAATAGGATTGAATCAGCACTAGACGTAAGTATTATATATACGCGTCTGCTTGAGACCAAAATGAATTCACCTTAATGAGTTAAATATTCAAGTAGTTTCCGTGTCATCAATTCAAGGCATTTTGACATTAGAGGTGATGACCAATCACAGCAGGAGATGCCGTCACGGCCACGGCGCGGCACTATTGTTGCTAATTTTCTTTTAGACATCCATACAAAATCTGCTCTACATTTTTGTTTCTGTTACTTCAGTCGACTTCTGTCTAACAAATTTAGTATTTTTTTCAATATTTGATTACATATAAATATAAAAATACAAATGCAACCGCAGACAACTACAATTTGTCAGGGTTCTAGATATGGGAAGCTGTCTAATATCTAATAATATAAAATCAATTAAAGGACTTTGCTAATCTACTGGAGACGTCCCYGACTCCTGACAATGAAGACGAGGTCCATAGGGCATTACACACGATAGGAACACGGATATGTCGGTTCATGGATGTTTTCACGTCGATAATACCCGCACTGTTTGCCAATGTTTTACGAAAAGGTGAGTCCATTGATGTTATGTATTTTACTCACTCATCTCGCTTGTGATTGGCCGAGAACGTTTGGCCATTCCCTGATTACAACTTTATTATCAAATTTACTACAGTGGTTTAGATATACGGTTTACTTCGCTTTCTTTGTGGCAGAAGAGAGTATTTTTTAATGCTTAGCGCCATCCGATTGTTGTTTGTAAGTTAAACATATTATTCGTGTTTTATTCATTACATTTCTGTTAAATCACTACTAAAAATAAGTGTCTTTGCTTATCTCTCTCTAGCCAATTTTGCAAAGAAGTTAGAAGATGTCCAGAAATACGATGTTGAAGGTAAACTAGTATAAACTTTTACTGCTAGTGTTTGTGTCACATGAAAGACCCTGGAGGAGCCTCGAAAGTGTGTGGTATTTTTGGAGGGTTGGGTGAAGTAGGGCTTAGGGTAAAAGCCATAAAGTTGTTAAGTGTGACGTCATTCGCAAGAAGAAAAACAAAAAAAAAAAATACAGGACGGAAACGAAAAGCATTTCTATGAAGATTTTAGTTACATTTTCTTCATGACAGGATTGGTTGTCCTTCAAATTTTTCATAGGGAGTTTAGATAATTGAGAACATGTGTCTAGATTAAAGCGGGATTTGTGAGCAACAGGACCGTTCTTAACTTAAAAGCTCTACGATTGACTCGTATGGACCTTTATCACACGGCCGCCATGTTTTTTCCATGTTCATTAGAATAAAACCTTGGTTTAACCCGKATAAATTTATTCGTGAGCACTTGAAATCGAGAATACGCATGTAGGAATCTATTGTTCAAACCAACATGGCTGCCGTGTCAAAAGGGCCATTTTAGATCAACTTAGGCTGAGATAAAAAGTGGAGAGACCTTTTAACTCTCAGCATATCTCCTTCTTTCTTCACTTTTTGCAGTCGAAAACGAACGCTTTCTACCGTCCACCTCCCCTCTGACAAATGTGGCTGTAATCGTCGGCAGTGATCAGCTATTGGCTTTTCTTGTGCGTCGATTTGATAAGCTCGTGGCATCTGAGAATTTCAAATCTTGGGATGCGTTACTATGGATACAATCTAAGTGGTAATGAGCTCCTTTAATTGTGTATGTTGGTATCTTGGATATGGTTTTAAGACTTCCTTTTTGTAATTCATTATCATCACAACCATTATTTTTTTTTAATTTTCGTTATCACCTATCTTCATCGCCACCATCTTTGTCGCAGTCGTTATTTAACAATTATTCGCCGAAGTCGAAGTAATTATCGGTGAATACTTACCCAGCCACGAGTCTTCGAGCGACAACGTAAATATTCACCATAATCACTGAGCCTGAAGTGAATTGTAATTGTTTTAGTATAATTTTAGACTTGCATATCATAGACGAAATTCAGGATAAAAAAACGTTTTAGTATTACTTCCACTCTGTCAAACTTTGGAAACACTCATAATCACCGCTTGAGCAGTGATTATCATCTCAGAATCACTGGTCGSTCGACCAATCGCAGTGCATGGAAGAAACTCTATATTCAAGTCTAAAATTATGCTGATGATCATTATATGACCTCTGCCATTCTTATACCAAATCTCAGTATTCAAGTCGCTCATTTATTCGTTTTCAGTTTACCTAAACTTTGTGAAATCGCTGGTAAGTTCTTCTTCCATTCGACGATTATCTTACTTATTTATTTTTATTTTCCATTTTATTTCTAAGTAAATCGACATTTTTGCACCATTTTGGAATGGAACTATAAAGATTAATGTTCATGTTCTGAATGTTGCTTTACTAGGACGAGTTCACAGTTCATTAGTCGATTGTCTACGTAAATTAATGCTGTTGTTCCGTACTTTGTGCATCACATTTGGTCTTCCTTTTTCACATAATAGAGTAAGTAATTATCAATCTACTGGGTCATCCTTAATTACACTATTTTGGGAACCTAGCGGCTCCACGATTGAACTTGCGCGCAACATACCGATACTCAAATCAACTAAAACAACCGGAAAATGTGGAGAAACGTTTGTGACGCCCATTTCGGTATAAAACTCATGACTCGTTTTTTTTCATTTTAAATGCCCCAGCCCCACCTCCAATACCGTCCCTTTGGTGCTTCACTGGAATCTTCACTGGGTTTTTGTTATTCCTGCTGCTGTTATTGTTATTTTTGTTATTGCTGCTGGACCTCTGGCTATTATTGTTTTTATTGCTGTCACTGTCGTGGCTGTTGCCTTTATT